CGCACAGGGGCCAGAGGAGCAAGTCCCGGCCCACCATCCACCGCCCTACTGCCTGCAGGAAAGCCTGCTCCGTGCGCAGCTGCCGCACTTCCTCGAAGGCTTCTTCCAGAAGAATGAGCCAGTGGTCGTGGGCATCATGAGCACCGTGTCGGAAGTGCTGCATCGCCTGGGCACGCAGGGCGCAGGCGCCCAGAGCCTCAGTGTCGCCATCAATATCCAAACTTTCTTCGACGACGTATGAGCGGGGATACGGCGGGCTGGGGTGCCTCCCTCTTAACTTCAGGCTGCAGGTGACCTTAACTTCCGGCAGGTGGACCGGGTTGGCTGATTGTCCACCGGGTGGCGCTCGGCTCCTTCTCATAGCTGAATACCGCCAAAGCCAGTCTCTCTGACCCTCAATCTCAGATCCGGCAACTGCCCCACAATGACTGTCATGGGGTCTCATTTACATTATGAAAGAGATGATTTGATTTTATGTCTTTGAGTTTGATGCGGGACACAGCCTGGGAACCTTGTCTGAGGGAGAAGGTCTGGCCCTGCCCTGGGGTCCTAGTCTGAGGGAGGAGGCTTGGCTCTGGGCTGGGAGACCCAGGCCGAGCTAAAAGACCCTGCAGAAAGAACCCAGTGGGCTGGGGTCCCAAGTCAAGCGAGAGCTGGGCCCTGTCTGAGACCCGCCTTTTAGGAGCGGGACCGGATTCGAGCAGCAGCCATGGCACTGTTTGGGGACCTGGTGACCTCGATGGCAGGTGGGGAGCTCAGTGACCTTCAGACCCAAGTGTACCGCAGCATGGTGCCCCTGCTCCTGCACCTAAAGGACCAATGCCCAGCCGTCACCACGGTCAGTGCCCACCACAGCAGGACAGGATGACAGGGCCTCACCTTGGCCAAGGGGCTGGGCAGGCAGGTGGCACAGTAAGGGGCTCCCTGGGCCAGCACCAGACCACAGTCCCTCCCCCGCTCACACACACACACACACACACACACACACACACACACGTGCACAGGACTGTGCTGTCTGTTCTGCTCACTAGTGGGTCCCCATCCCAGGCACAGGTAGGGCTCGGCCACTCCTTGAATTTGCTGGAATGTGGACAGAACTCACCCTGCCTCATCCTCCACTTGCCTGGTGCAGAACTACTGCACACGGGCGTCTGGGTAGGGAAGGGGTGTCCCCCGGAGCACCAGCATAGCAGGCTACCTCAGAGGCTCACCTGAACTGTGGTCCCTGGGGTGGGGCATAGATGAACGCACCAGGCAATGGGTAACCCTCCTGTGGCTGTCTCCACAGCAGGCCAAGTTTGCCTTCTACCGCTGCGCTGCCCTGCTGCACTGGCAGCCGAGGCACGTCCTCTTCTGCATCCTGGCCTGGGAGCGCAGCGTCAGCGCCCGCCACTTCCTCTGGACCTACCTGGTGAGGTCAGGGTGTGGTGAGGCCAGGCTGGCTGCATGCTGTGTGGTCTGAGGGCTTTGGAGGGAGCATGGCTGGAGATCAGTGGTCCCTCCAGGCTGTCCCAGACAGTGACAGGTGGCTGTGCCCTCACCAGATGACCCGCAGCCAGCAAGAGTTCAGCATCCACCTGGCACAGGCCCTCAAGTACCTGCACAGCGGCCGCCATCACATGAAGACCTGGGCAATGCTCTTCATAGGTGGGTAGAGGGAGGGCCAGGCTTGGAGATCCCCAGGCCTAACCTGACCCACCCACCAGCAAGAAGGCAAGGACTGGGTGAGGGAGCTCGGGGCTGAGGAACAGCAGGAGTGACCTGGACCCCTGAAGAGATGGGAGCCTCTGGCCAGCTGCACCCCATTTTGCACAGGTTACACCATCTGCTACTTCCCCCAGGCCACGTCCCAGATGCTGAGCAACGGGGACATCAACCTGCTGCTCCACAGTAAGCAGCCCTGCCCCAGCCCTTCCTGCTCACAGCCCACAAGCCCTGCTCCGCATCCTAAGACCACTTCAAAGATGGCAGGACCGAGGCCCCTAGGAGTAGAGCTCTCCCAGCCCTCCAAGCCCAGGGCAGCAATAGGACAAGGACCCTGGCCTGAACAGAACCCGTCCCAGGGTCCACCTCTGCGTGCTGTCCTTTCCCCTCCCCAGGCCTCAGTCGTGACACCAGAGCTCACTCTTCAGCTCCCTCAAAACAAGGGCCCCACAGCTGCCTTGCAAATGGGGAAAGGAATTCTCTGGGACCTCAGTCAGACGGAATGAGGGGGGCTGCTCCCAGGCCAGGGTCACCTCTGACTTAACCCTTCTCTCCCAAAGCTTTTGAAGATCTCAAGAGAGACCCAGCACCCAGCATCCAGGAGTTTGCCACTAGGCAGCTCTGCTTCTTGCAGAAGGTGTCAGCCAGATTCCAGAAGTGACTTCCTGCTGTCCTCCCACCCTCCCACTCCTATCCACCCTCCAAGGCCAGCCTGGCACACAGAGCTTCACTGTATAACTTTTCCATTTGAAAGAAAGGTCTAGATTCGACAAAGAAATGTTGCACCTGTCAGCCGCCCACCTTCCACCCCATGGGCCTCCTGTCGTCAAGCCAAGCCCAGGAGACACTGGCAGGAAGGATAATGGGATGGGGGGAGGCTGCGAAGTCTGTGATGGATCCTGCAGATGGCCGCCCCTCCATTCCCAGAGATGGGGTCAACTTCATGTGACCTGAGCCCAAGTCCTAGGCACTCACAGCTGAATGGAGCTACCAGCCAAGGCCACGGCTTTCAGTCTGGGGCTTGGCAGTGGCTGAGGGACTGATGGTGGGGACAGACTCTCCAACCCAGCCTCTCTCTATCCTCCTCCTCCTGGTCAGACTGTCCCTGGGAGCTGGCAGCAGGCCCAGCCTAGCCCGGGTCACACCTCCCAGGTATGAAAGCGCTGAATTTGAGCTGCAAGGCCTGGGCTCTCTGGGCCTCTGATGTTCCATCTAAAATGCCATGGCCTCCTTGTGAGCGTCAGCTTACCCAGGGTGGAGAGGGCAGGTGGGCCTTGCCTTGCCTCTGGGGCCCAGTGCTCATCCTGAGTCACAGCAGGGATCTCCCTGCCAGACCAGCCAGCTTCCCACAGAGCGCTTGAGCAGGGTCTGCCCACTGCCCCTCCTCTCCTGGGCCTGTACTACTCTGACCACACCTGAGCTTACCTGCCTGGACACCACTCCCCACAACATCCGCCCAGGCCCAGTGGGCAAGCCCCACCCTCCTTAGGCCAAGCACCCCACCTCCCCAACAGAAACCTACCCATCTTCCCCCGAGCCCCGAGACTGTGCGCATCCTGGGTCAGGCCACGATGCCTGGGGCACAGGCCCTGGCACTTGGAGGAAGGATTGAAAAAATATAGCGACCTCCCCCAAATGTGCCATAGATATAGCTGAATGCCTGTGCTCAAGGAGAGGAGAGACTAAACAGTGACAGCCGGACCCAGCAGACCTCCAGCCAGGAGCCTCGGCCAGCTGGCCACACCCAGTCCCCTCCCTCGGTTCCAGAAGTGGAGCTGCCTAGCGGGCTTTTGGGTAGTTTTGCCTTTTCACATAGCCCACCCGCACCCTGACCTCATGGACACCCGCCTCAGAGCCCTCCGCTGCTTCAGCCCTCAGCTGGCAGTAGTGGTTTAGATCCAACCTGGCAGGTGATCTCACCTCAGGGTGAGCTTGCTAGCTGCCCCACTGGCTGCCCTGAGTCCCCTGTAGTTCCTCTTCCCTTCTGAAAAGTCTCACTTAGCAAAAGCTTTGGACTCCCAAGTGGGTTCCTGGAGCCAACACTGACTGGACAAGCCCCTCAGGCTCCGTGAATCTGTCCCTCACCTGGAAATGAGGCGGGGGCTGCTAGCCTAGTTCTGGGGACAGGCAAGCTCAAGGAACTCGGCTTGCAGCAGGAACTCTGTTACGGCACCTACAGGAACAGTAGTTCGATGCTAGGCCTGGTGGAGCAGGCGGGATACGGGGAGAGAGCGTCTCCTCCCCCACCGCAGTGCTCTCACTGTGAGTGTAAGTGGACAGGCCCAGGAGGGGACACCTGCCTTCGGTAGAATAAGCTTCTGACAAGGGCTCACCATGCAGCCTGTGCACAAGGCTCGCCCTTCTGGGAAAAGCAGAAACAGTGATCTCGGAGGGTCCAAAAGAGCCCCCCAGCCAAGCACAGAGTGGGTGCCGTGTGGGAGGAGAGAGAACAGGCTGGGGGGGTGCTGGGGAGAGAATGGCCAAAGGCTGGGCGGCAGATGCAGATGGACAGTGATCTGGATCCCTCTCTGGGGCTGAAGCACCAGCCGAGGTAGTGGCCAAGAGGAAGAGTCAGCAAAGGCCTGTGGGTGGCGTCCACGGGTGGGTGTCATTGCCTACGGGCCTTGGTGCGAGAACACTCCCAGCCCCTCTATGCTCAGCTAGGCCAGCCCTCGGCCCACGCTCTCAGGGGTGCCCCTGACCTCCTACACCCCTTTGCTCTATAGGCAGACAATCCCCAGATCGCGAGCCTACACCCAGAAGCAGGTAGCAGTGTGAGCCAGGCCCATAGGCAGCCTCTCCTCACTCAGGTGCCCTCAGTCAGGCAGGCAGCACTTGCCTTCCTTCTGCCCTAAGCCACAGGTGACCTCTGTACCTGAAGTTCACACCACCCCTTGCTGGGACCATTCCCTGGGCTGCAAGGCTGAGATGCAGGCCCTGCTGGAGGTGGAATAGGGAGCCTTCCCCTCTTTGTGGACCCAAAGCCGAGAAATTGCCACATGAACCCACCCTGACTTGCAGAGCAGCAACACTGGCGAACCAGCCTTGCCTCCTAATGGCCTGACCCCAAAACTGCAACCAGCAACCCATTAGTGGCCCAGCTCCACTCTGGTATACCAGGGATGCAGGCGCAAATTGGAGTGCAGGGTCTCAATACAGCCACCAGAGGGCACCATAGGACCACGCTGGAACCCCAGCCTATGGGGATCACAGGCTTCTGTCCCCTGGCAGCAGCCACAGACCCCAAGGCCACAATCCACCCCCACCTGGCCCTGCACACACTCTCCACGCACAACCACGGTTCCTGTTTTATTGCCTTTGAGTGTCCAGAGCATCCGACTGCCCCAGGATCCAATAATTTAAGGTGCCAAGAACAGCGGAGGGTAAGGGGCCGCCACCGAGGGGCTGGGCCCAGTGGTTAAAAATACACCCACCACTATGTCCAGGTCAGAGAGGAGACCTGTGGTAGAGGTGGGCTTGCTGGAGGTCACTGGCAGGAGGTCCAGAGATGGAGGCTGACCAGTCTCAGAGACACCGTGCCCTGGAGAGGGGCACAGGAGGCCAAGACATAAAACACACGGCTGCCTGACTCCTGGGACACAGAGCACTGAGGCACACGAAGACAGGCCAGTGGAGGTCAGCCAGGACAAGGGACAGCAAACTATCATAGGCCCTAGGCCCGGCCACGGCCTGAGCTACATGATGCAGCATTTGGTCTTGTGTGTGTTCGGGTCTTTGAACCGCAGTCTCTGTTTGGGCCGGTATTTCTCCAGGTAAGTGAGCTGCTTGCTGTTAATGGCGCCACGACGCTTCCTGGGGAGACGGGGTCAGTCAGAAGGTCACCCAGGCTCTGGCTTGGCCACCTGTCCACCCCACATATACACACGACAAATGGGCTGGGGTTTCTCCTTGTGGCCAATAGAACCCTTCCTGCCCTGCCTGGCACAGCCTTGGGCTGCAGGACCCGCAAGCAGAGGTGCTATGGGGGGCAACACCAACACGAAGGCCTGACTCCCTCCGTGCAGCCAGTCCTACTCAGGACTACGCCCCAGAGCCTGGGGAGAAACAGTGCAAGGTACCCACGTGTGCACTGGTATGTATGCACATGTGCCCATGTATATGAGCACGTGTGTCCTGGCATGACATGTTTGAGAGTGTATATGTATACGTATCAATGTTCCTGTGTGCATGTCACCCAGGCTCCCTCAGGATACTTGCAGCTGCAGGTATAATCATGTCAGGTGGCAAGTAGGGACAAGCATACTTTAGGAAGACTGCCGAGTCCTGGCAGAGGCTGTCTCAGGAAAAACAAGAGTGCACCCACCAAGACTGTATGTGTGTGTGTCAAACTTGTGTATGCACACTCACACAGGCTGGGGGGGTGATACAGAATCAGCCACTCTTGTCCCTGCCTGGCTGAGTAGGCAGATGGGAGCCCTCCCAGGGGAGGTAACCAAGTGACTAGAAGGCAGCTGGTAACAAACCTCCAAGGAGGGTAAGGAGAGGCCAAGCCAGGGATAACAGGCTGGAGGGCTGCAAGGCTCTGGAGCTAGTATCCCTGTGCATAGATGAGGCACTGGCAGGTTTTGAGGTTCCTGCTTCCCATTGAGAGGCTGGACCAGATCCAAGGTCCTCAGCACATGGCAGGGTCACCAGGTGTTGTGACTTGTAGCTAGATATCCCCCCAAAGACTCATCTGCTCTCATAAGTGGGGCTGTTCGGAACTGGCTGGATCTAGGGTGTGTGATACTGTGATTAAGAGTGTGTGGTACTAAATTAGTCCACTGATTGGAATTAGCCTAGCTCTGGGTGTGGCTGAATGACAGAAGCCTCACCTGAGTGTGGGTGGCACCACCCAAAAAGCTTATAGCCTGGATGAGATAAAACATGGAAGGCAGGCTGCTGATGCCTACTGCTTGCTGCCTTCTGCCTGCCACACCATGAATTGTTTCACCTCTTTGATGTCCCTCCACTATGTGCCACCCTGCGTTAGAGCCATCTGACTATGGACTGAAACCTCTACAAACAGAGCTAAAATAAATCTCTCCTCCTTTAACTCTGGGTGGCAAACACTGTCTCAGCAGTGAGAAAAGTAAAGACGCCAGGGGCATTAAGCGGATGGTCCTGGCTGCTCCTTTGGCCAGCTGCAGAGGTGGAGCACAGCCATCCTGCACCCCTGCTGCTGCTGGCTCTCAGCTCCTGACTATCCAGGGATGGCTCAAGGCTGGTCCAGCCCTGCTGGCTCAGGCAGCCTCAGACCAAGGGAACCACATGAGCAGAGAGGAGAGCTGTGATAGGGGTGGGGTTGTTGGAGGTCGCTGCACTACCAGAGGGGTGTGTAAAGAAAGGCCACAGAGACAGCCCAGGCCCCCAAACACTTGCCCACTCAGCCCCACAGCTGGCCACTCACTGCCGGATAAACTGGATGGCATCTTCATACTTCATCCCACTCTCAATGAGGGCCAGTGCCACCAAGACTGGAGCCCTGCAAACAGAGAGCAGAGCTGAGATGACCTGAGCCTCTCTACCCTGGCCCTCCCCTGACAGGCTGTCTACTAAGGATGCAGGGTATGGGGAGCGTTCACAGGGGCCAGACCTCGCCCCAGTTCCTTCATGTCCCCTGTGAAGGGCACACACTTGGAGATCAGCCCAATTGCCTGGGTCTAGATCCTGACTCTCTCCTAAGCCTCCTATGCAACCTCAGGGGGTCTTCCTGCCTGTCTCTCTGTGCCTCATGGGTAGAATGTGCCATAGAAGGATAAACGAAGGCACACAAATGAAGGCCTTAGCTCAGGTCTGTCCCAGGGTAAGGGCTTAGTACAGGCTGGCTGAGAACCCTAATCAGCTGCTCCTTGGACCAAAATGGGGGACTCCACTGCCCAGGTCCTTTCAACCAGATGCAGGCTGCTTATCCTTCTCTGAGCAGAGATCCATTCACGGCCCAGCTCACCGGGGTGCCCTTGTGTCTGGGGAGGAGCACAGGGCAGCCACCACTGCAGGAAGGAGTCAGATCAGACTTTGGGAAGGACTTCCTCCCTGCCAGGCCACTAGCGGGTTTATCAGGGAAGCCTTGACCTTGGGGTGTCAGGCCTCAACCTTGGGCTGTCAGGATGATCACGTGGATGTGGCCCAAGCTGGAAAGTGAGAAAGTCTGACTACAAGACCCCAAGCTCTAAGAGCGCTCCCAGCAACAGCAGCACCCGAGGACCAGAGCCCCACTCCCCCCGCACTTGCCCTCCCTCCCTCCCCACTCCCCCAACTCACCGTCCCAGGCCTGCCACACAGTGCACGGCTACACAGCTGCCAGGATCATCGCAGAACTTGGCCCTCAGCAGGCTCAGCCAGTCCTCCACCACCTTGCTGGGTGGGGGTGCCCCATCATCAAATGGCCAGTCCTGTGGGTGAACCAGCCCATGAGGACCCCAACTTGTAGGGGTTGGAGTGCTCACCCTGCCACACTGTGTCTGCTGGGAGAGGAAGAGAATGCCAGCAGCTAGCGAGATGGCTGGCTGGGCTGCGGGCACCTTGCTGCCGACACCTAACTCCCTGACCCTGCCCACTTCAGCTTAGCCCACCAGGGTGCCTTCCTGAATCACCCCATCCTTTCAGGGTACAAGCTCCCGGGGAGCCCCATATGGGCCCTCCACCCACCCCTATCAGCCCAAGAAGTGGTCCCTCCAACCTGGACATCAGTGGCTGGCCTGAGGGGACCTGTCCCCTGCAGTAATGCACAAGCCTGCCACCCCAGCCTCCAGGGCCGCCACACAGGCCAGGTACCACAAAGCGTAAAGACAGGGATGTGGATGAGACCATGTTTCTGGGAGTTGGACCCTGCATACCAGCGGGACCCAGGCTGGGGAGGCAAGGCCAGTCCCTATCAGAGGCGGCCCAACCCAGGGTGCACTGCAGGGGGACAAGATGTTCATATACTGGTAAGGCAGGTGCACAAGGGACTGCTCCAGAATTCACACTGATTACTATTGGGGTGGACCCACATGGGCCTATGGGTGCTGCCTTAAATCTAACCTAGATCCTTCTGCTTGCTGGGAAAGGGAAGCAGGGGCTGCTGAGATGCCCTCTGCCAAGATGTGCCTAGGTGCCTTTGTCTTGAATCCTTCCAAGCAACTATACTTTCAGGTGAGGACCCTGAGGCTCACAGTGGCCTGTGAGGTCCCACAGATGGAAAGAGACAATGGTGGGATTCAGCATAGGCCTTTGTGATCCCAGAGGACAGATTTTTTCCCACACACACACCCTCCAGCTCCCAGGCAATGGCTGCTACACAGAGTAACAGCTATGGACAAGAAGGATAGGGAGAACCACACACCCAGCTGCCTAGGGTACAAAGCCCATGTGCCAGGGGCTGGGGGACCTCACGGGGCTGGCTCTGGGGCTCTTAGTACTGAGGTCTAGCCCACAGGCATATGGCCACAGAGCTCCCCATCCTCCACCTAAACTGGGTCCTTGGGGCTACAGGAGCCAAGGAAACAGCCCCAAGGGTCCCCCATAGCCTCCACAGAGGGCCTCCCCCTGCCCGCCTGCTGCCCAGAGACAAAGCTCCAGACAAAAAGTAGTGAGAGGCTGAGACAAGACCCCTGGGAAGGCTGCGCTCCCCACCAGGCAGGCTGCTGGGCTCAGGCCAGCCCCATGGCAAGCACACCTGGTAGGCAGGGCCACATTGTACATGAGCGCCACTCCCCAAGGCACCCTCATGTCACTGGTTATGTGGCCTCAGATCAGAACAGACCTCATGCCTTGCTTTTCCCAAGGTGGAACCATATAAGGGGCTGCAGGCTGCCGTATGGCTGAGATTTGGTGCTGTCTGGTGGGATATAGACACACCCCCACCTCAACACATAAGAGGACCCACCACAGGAGCTTCGGCTTTGACCAACAAACCCATCCCCTGCCTCATGGCCCAAGCCTGAGAAAAGGGAGCCCAGGAGGGGTGACTTTCTCTTGATCACATGTCCCAACCTCTAGCCTCCTCCAGGTGCCCACACACCTATGGCCCAGACACCCAAGTAACACGAGAGAGGCCCATGTGCTGGCCTCTCAGCAAGAAACGTCCACCCACCTGCCAAGCCTTACCCCCAGGGCAGTCACCGTGCCCCCTGTGCCCCCTCACCACAACAGTGATGCCGTCCTTCTCCAAGGGGGCTTTGTCGTAGGTCACCTCGCACACGCGCACCACTGTGGTGGCCCCGTACTTCTTCAGGTCCTGGCAGGGTGCGAAGAACGAGCAGGTCGGGCAGGGGCTGGGCGCTCAGGACCAAAGCCCTAGCTAGGACATGGCTGAATGCCTCAGGCCCAGGGAAGAACTGTGTCCCGCTCGAAGGCCCCTCCAGGGCTGTGTCTCCACAGTAAGACAGTGTGGACTCAGGCCCAGTGACTGGAAGATGGTCTCGCCTAATGATCCAGGTGCCTGTTCCTCAGCTACCCAGACAGGCAGGCATCCCCATCTATGTGTACCATAACCCACACTCAGCAGCTGTGATAGCCCACTGCATGTCACCTCCAGCCGCCGCAGTGCTCAGCACCCCAACTCTTACCAGAAGGGTCTCATTTACTAGACAAAGGCCCTGGTCTCCCAGCATGCTGGGCCCCTTCCTGCTTTCCCTGCATGAATGGGTCTCTGAGAAGCAGGCCCCACAGGCAGGAGGCCTTGGAGCCAGCAGGGCAGCCAGAATGGGGATGCTGCACATCCATAGGGAAACCCCGTGCTGACCAGCCAAAAGGTCATCAAGCTCACAGCCAGACAAGGGATATTTATACCCAGGGCACGGGCAGGGCCAACACCACCCCCACCTGCTGCTGGTAGATATTCTGGGAGTGGTGAGGGAACACTAGGCCCTGCTGGTCATACAATGGGAACACCAGACACAGAGAGGCCAGGGCCCAACTATTCTAAGAAAACAGGGAGCAAGGGGGAATGCCCACCTCTGAGGTCACAGGGATACCTCAGAATCCCTCTGTGCCTTCGGTGGAGGAAGCTGCTGTCTTGCTCAGGACTGAGCTCTGACCCTAGCCACACACTGAGCCTTCCCTAATACTGTTCACACACTGAGCCCTGGTCATACTCTGGACCATGAACCTGGCCGGGCACTGGGCCCTCATCCTGGTCACACACTGAGCCCTTGTCCTGGTCATACCCTAAGCCCTAGCCCCAGTCACTCATAGTGCTGTGCTTACCAGTCCTTCCCGGGGCCCTGCTGTTATTTCAAGGGTCTCTCAGCTGTGGGAGGGGACAGTCGCCATCAGCAGAGCACTGGGCTCAGTGTCCAGGGTCCGGGCTCCTCATACAGTTCCCCATGCCCACTCACATCCACATCCCCCTGTGACTGTACCAAGCCTGCACCAACTCATCTCACATCAGGGATGGGAGAGCTGAGAGATGGGTCTGCAAAATGCCTCATGCAGTGGGTTCCGTAACTGGCCCTCATACAGCCCCCGCCCTGTAAACGGCCCTGGGTCTGCAAACACACACACAGCTCTAATAGTCTGTTCCCAACACGGACTCTAATACACCTAGTCACAAGCGTGGGGGTCTTGGGCAGCAGGCATCTCTTCCTGCCACCCCTTGAGGGGCCAATGGTCACTCCCTCCTGTGTCCAACTCAGTTCTAGCCTAGGTGTTGTCCTACCACATAGAGTCCTCACCTCCACCTGCCTGGATTCACACAGGCTCAAGTTCCACTGCTCACATGCTGGCCCCAGGGAACCCACTGGACCCTGAGACTCCTCACTCCCAAGCCCCCCAAACGTCTCCATGTACCCCATCCAGGACCCTGTAACAGGTGCCTGAGCTCAGCTGCACACAGAGAGAACTGGGCATGGACAGCTCTGCATCCCCTCGCCAGCCCGGGCCTATAACTGCTTGCCAGGCTTCTCAGGCACTCTGTCCACCACCCACCCCGCCCCACTTACCTCCATGAAGGTGCTGAGAGTGGCGTCAGTGGGGTTGTGCGTGATGAGGAAGCGCATGTTTCGGTAGCTCACCTCCACTGGGGCAGGCCGGTTCATTCGCGCCATGCCTTCCGAAGGCAGAGGGCAGGGTGGGAGGGGGCTGCTGCAGAGAGGGCTGGAGGCACGGCCAGAGGAGCCCCCACCAGCCTCAGAAAACTGAGTAGAGCAATATCCTTGTACTTATCTGAGAGAAAGGATTTTTAAAAACCCACCCGTACACCCTGCACAAATATTGTACAAATACTTGGGAAAGGGAAAGGAAGCTGCTCAATGTTTGGATAATTAAAAAAGAAAACCCAAACCAACCCCCCGAAAAAAGGAGCGAAACAGTCCCCCAAAGTAAGATGGGCAATTCCAAACTCCTGTCTCTCAGAGCTGGCTAAAAATAAAGGGGATAACAACCACCCAAAAATTCAGCAAGGAACATTTAAAAACCCCACAGTGAATGTGGCCACCATGCAGTGCCTAGGGTGGGTCCTTCAACGGGGACAGCCTCTCAGCATTGGGCAACAGCCCCCTTTGTTCCAAGGTGGGCTCCAAACCCCCAAGGTCTGGAGGAAAACTGAACTTGAACAGAACCAATTCTGGCAGCCGTGGGGCAGAGATCACAGTTGCGGGAGGCAGGAGGTCTCTGATGCACCGGCCCTCGGTCACGTTACCCCATTGGGTTATGGCAAGTCCTGGAGGGTGGAAGGGGCTCAGTCAGCACAGCTGATCCCAGGCCTGGCAGCAGAAGCCATCAGCAGGCGAGGGTCATGGTGAGGGCCAAAGGCGCGTGGCTTCCTCAGCAGCAGGCTCGGGAAATGTTGGGCACGGCAGTGCTCAGAGCTGGCCCACAAGGGCCACTCCATTGATTGCAGGCTGGTCCTCAGCAGGCAACATCTGGGGGAGGAGAAGAAAATGAATGGCCTCCTTCTGCCTCAGTCCCCCTATGTGAAAACCCAAGGAAGGACAGAGGCCCAGCCCTAAGGAGAAAGGACATCCAGGCACAATCACCAGGATGGAGAGGAGGAGCACAGGAAGAGGATACCAGACACACCCCCTCCAGCACGCTAAACCCCAACAAGCAGACTCCATGTCTACCTGCCCCCAAGCTTGGCCCTGCCTGAGTCACCAGATATCCCACCCTACACACAATCTTAGGACAGTCGCTTTTCCTCAGGCTTACTGGCCACTGACGAATGGCAGAGCCCAGGTCACTCTGGACCTCAGGGAAAAGCGCTCAGGACAGTGAGACCTACCCAGCTGGGAACCGCTGTCACTTCCCCATCCTGGCCTCTGCCCCTGCCCCTGATTGCTCACAGGCTGGCTAAGCAAGGAGGAAAACAAGCTGCCTTGCCCTTTAGGAGCTCAGAGTGGACCGGCTGCCAGGCACATGCCAGGGTGGTGACAGCACAGGTGGCTGGAGTGAGGTCTAACCAGCATGGGGCCTTGAGGAAGGACACTGCTTGGGGTCATAAAATCAGCCCCCAGTACCTCCACCCCTTGCCTCTCTCCCTCTCTGGATTAAACAGCTCCTAAAGTCCCCAGGAGCATCAGCCCTCTCTACCCACAGAGGGGCCAGGAGACCTTGGGCATGTGACTGGCCTCTCGGGGCCTCCGTTTCCCTATCTGCACAACAAAAAAAACACAGAAGATGCTTCCAGCGTCCCTCTACTGTGACTCAATGGTTAGCAGACCCTTTGAGTCATGGATTCACCCCAACCCCCATTTCCCACCACTCCTGTGTGTCCACACCCCTGCCTCTTCCACCCAAGGAAAAAGCCCCTTACAGGACCACACCTGGCAGTCTTCCATCCCTCCCCTGCCCACCACCTCTTACCTCTTTCCCTGCCCAGCACCCTTTTCTCCAGCTGCCCAGCAGGCAGCTGTGCTCCCAGAGCCACAGCCAGGGTGAGGAAGGGTCAGTGGGACTCCAGATTTGGAGGCACCACTGCTGGCCTTGAGCTGTGAGCACAGGCCTCACTGTCCCAGCTCTGCCTATGCAGGAAAGTATGGACTTTTCAGCCTGCCCTCCATCCCAACATAGGCTCGGTGCTCCCAGGCTCAGGGCAGGGGCTGCATCCACATCCCAGCCTCAACCCCCAGAGTGGGAACACCCCCAGAGTGGGAACACCCCCGATAAGAGGGGAAGGCAGAGGGAAGGAGTTTTGTCCCTGGTTGAGCCGTCCAGGTCCCCAACCTGTGCCCACTCAGTGCAAGCAACTACCCTAATACTATGAGGAAAGCCGGCTCAGTGCTACAGCACACAAACGCCTGGGAGCCTCCTGGGGCTGTGCGTGTGCACACCAGAGACACACTCATGTTTATAAAGGTAAAGGAGGGAAAGGGCCCAAGATCACCACGGGACTCCAGAGCCTCTCTTGAGAGTCTGACCCCACCACCCACAGGGGCTGCAGACCGGATAACCCAGGGTTACAGCACATGGCCTGCTCTGCTGCCCAGTGCCAGAGGACAGCGCCTCCTGGCTGAGAGTGGGAGAGCCGCCAGGCAGAGGGGGCCTGAGTCATCCCACACTGCTCTCACAGGGGCCCAGTTATCAGAGGCCTGCAAGGGGCTGGGGCTAGACTGGGCTGGGTCAGCAGCAGGCATCAGAGCCTGGGCTAGACCGGGTCTAGGTTGGACCAGCAGGGCTGGTGTTTTGCCACTTCCCACCACTCGCCTCTGTAGTCTGGGCCCCCACCCCAGGAAAGCAGGGATGTGAGGCCCTCCTACCCCAGAAACCCCCCTGTGGCCCAACCCTACCTTATGGCTGGCCCCTAGGGAAGAGTCCCCTCTCTAACCCACACCCCCGGTGAGGTCACCAAGAAGCTCAGAGATGAAGGACTAAAGAGACTCCAGCTGCAGGGGAGGAGGCCAGGCTGCTGCTCCCAGAGCCCTGCACCCACCCCTGAAAGAGCTCACCCAAGACCTGTGGTCCCCACCTGCCATCCCCCATCCCAGTAACTCCAGGCTGCCCCGCCTCTACCCCCAGGCAGTGAGCACTCCCTGCGGCCCAACTCTAGTCTCCCCATCTGTAAAGCAAGCACAGGCTATCTGCCCCCCTCTGCTGTGAGCCTTTGCTGGCCCAGCCACCATGCCCACTCCCTATGCCACCCTACTGGGTTTAAGCTCCTCCTTCCCTCTGGCCCTCCCCTTCCTGGGATCCTGGCCCGGCCTCCTCTGGCCCGTGCCCCAGCCCTCTGCTTTTTGCAGAACCGCTCCTTTTCAAAACCCTTCCAGGGAGTCCCATCTGAGTCTCTTTGCCAGATGAGGAAACAAGCCAGGGAGAGATAGAAGGACATTCTCTGGTCCTCGGCCAGACCCTGTGCGCACTAAGTGGGTTTTCTCAACCTCAAGTCCAAGGCAGCAAGAACAACATTGAATCGCAGCGTGAAGAAAAGGAAACAGATTCAGGGAGGCACAGATAGTTAAGGAGTTTGAATCACTCGGACTTCAGAAAGGAAGGGGCCCTTCTGAACACGCGACCCTCGGATACTGGAGGAGGTGTCGGGAGGCTTAGGTTCGGTCGTGGGCTGCGAGCCCCAGAGGCCGCTGGGGTTATGCGTGCGGTGAGGGGCTCGCCGGCCCCCAGGCGTTAGCGGGGGCTTCCCACCCGCTCACCAGGGTGCCACCTCCCGGGGCGGGGCCAGGGTCCCCCGAGGGTCCGGAGGGTCCCGCCCGCACCCTCTCCTGGCTCACCCGCGCCCGAGGGCTCGCCGCCGCCTCCATGCGCCTGCCGGGCGGGCCGCGCTGCGCCCGAGACCCGGGCGCGCCCTCCCGCAGCGCCGGCTCTGCTGATCCGGCCCGGCTGCTATTTATAGCGCCCGGCGTCACGTGGGGGGCGGTGACCGGCCGTGGACCGGGATAACGGGCTCCGCACCTGCCGCCTAAAGATAGCCGCGCAGGGCCCGCGGGAAACAAAGGGCGGCGGCAAGCTGGTGAGGAAAAGGAAGCGCGGCAGGCGCAGGAAGGGGAGCGGCCGCTGGGCCTCCGCGGGCGCACTGACCACCGGGCCGGCTGCCCGGCCGAGCGGAAGGAAGGGTTCTCGCCCCGGAGAGGAGGGCGGCAAGAGTCCACGCAGCCCAGCGAGCACAGAAATCGCCCAGCCCCGCAGTCCCCTGCCCGGCTTATCAGCCCAACAGCAAGGTTGTCTCCGTTTTCCCAGCAGCGCGCACTGCTATCTCCTTGTCTGACACTCACAACACCCCTGTGGGTGGTTGCTCTCGTCCTCCCAGCAGACAGCTTGGGAAACTGAGGCACGGGATCTAGAAGCAACTCAGGCTGCAGGACCAGGCAGGAGTCACCCCAAGAGCTGCTACCACACTCCTCCACGTGCACTGCCCCACCCCATGAAGCCCTCCAGACCCAAGCCACCCCACCCCACCCCACCCCCGACTCTCTCCTGAGTTGCTGATATCCCCCACCAACAGGGCTCTGGCTTGGCCTCCCCAGAACACAAGTCCAAGAACTCACGTGCTCCCCAGACTGTGCGCTCCAGTGGAACCTGGTGTAACTGTCACCTCCACACCTGCCCTGGCCTCAGAGACCCTGAGCGCAATGCCCAGGACTCTTAGAGCCCCTTGTGCACTGGGTCCCCTGAGGCCTCGCCTTGCTGGGAACTTCGCTCTGAGCCCAGCTCCCAGTCAGACAGCCTGGCCCCTGCAATCAGCGGTCAGCACAGGGAGGGGGTGGACCGGGCAAGCTGGCCAGTGGCCCAGCAGAAAACACCCCCACACACACACTCTCTCCTAGAGAGCACCCAGTTAGCCCAACCTGGCACAGCTGTGTGGTCTTCCCTTGCTTCCTGCCACCCCTCAGTGCTGTGCCCGGAGGGGAAGCACTCATAGGAGTTCACTCCTCCGAGCCAGGCGCCCCTGGAACCCCCACACTGCCCTCCCTGGCAAGGCGCTACCCTAGCAGAGTCAGTGCTGAGGCAGGCCTTGGCTCTTACCTCTTCCAGCATGTCTCCCTGAGGCTGAGGAGTGGATGAATCAGCGCTGGCACTCACCACCCCACCCCTCTCCACCTGGACCACCTTGGTGGGACACTGTTCAGGCGGGCTGCTGCCCCACCAACCAGACACAGACCTCAGTCCCACTGTACTGATAAAATCCAGAGCTGGACCTGGTGGTGCACACCTATAGTTCCAGTACTCTGGGAGGCTGAGGTAGGAGGATCGCAAGTTCAAGCCCAGCCTGAACAACTTAGTGAATCAGTGAGAACCTATCTCAAATAAAATTTAACTAAAAAGGGCTAAGGATATAGGTCAGTGAAAAGGCTTTGGGTTCAATCATCAGTACCACAAAAAAAAAAAAAAAAAAAAGAGAGGGAGGGAGGGACGTACAAAGGGAGGAACGAAGGGAGGGAGGATGGAAATCACCTCAGAGAAACTAACAGCATATCCAAGTCACCTGGCGAAGAACAGAAGAGCCACAGCTGGAGGTGGATCTGCTGAGCCCCAGGAACCCAGCTCACTTCTACCCCAGCCCCTTTGCCACCCAGCCTGTTTCCTCGTGCATAAAAGGGGTCCCTTAGAGATCTTGGCAAGTTCTGGGACCTGGTAAGTTCCAGGACCTGAGACCAGGACCCAGCGCCCACCATGCTGTGAGGGTTGTACACATGGCCTGCGTGCCTGCCCCCCACCTTGGGCCCACTCTCTCGCCTGGGCCCTCTGGTCAGGCTTGGGGGCACCTGCTGTAGCTGGCGGAGCCCCCAGCCTTTCGGAGAAATCTATTTATACCACAGCAGGAGTCGTTCCTGGAGCCCTGCCAGAGCCTGCTAGGTTTCGGGGCAGGCCGGAGTTCCAAGCCCACGCCACTCCCCCAGGACATCGACCCTAGCCGTCATGCCCCTGGCCCAAAGCTCCAAAGGAGATCAGGTGCTTCGCCCTTCCCCTTCCCTGTGCTGTCTCCTCTCGGCTGAGTCACATGCCCTTCACAGCTGCAAGGCCCAGCCCCAGGGAAGGTATCCTAACTTAGGGAAGATGAAGCCTTTGGCTCTACCCCACCTCCCACACAGGCACTAAGAGGGCCCCACTTGTTTGTGGAAAGAACAAATGACCCAACGTTCTGGGCAGCGGTCCAGATCTGAGAAACATCGAGAACCCACTGTGTCAGTTACTTTTCTCTCATTGCTGGGACAAAATACCTGACACTCGAAATTAAGAAAGCAAAGGTTTATTTAGCTCACAGTTTGTGGAAGTTTCCGTCTGTAATCAGCTGGCTCCAAGACAGGGTGGCATGGTGAGGAGCAACAGTTCATGGCAGCAGAAGACAGCAAAAGCAACAAGAACAAAAAGGGAGGAGCAAGAGAGCAAGCCTCTTGCCCTCCTTTATATTGTATGCAGTCTACCACCCCCTAGTACTGATGTAGCACTCACACCTTCTCTGTGCCCTCCTCTTGCACCGGATGGAGATGCTTACAAAGTGAGGACCCTGGCCTCCTGCTGAGTGGCTTAGTTAAACTTCTGAACTTCTCCAGTTGACACAATGTATCAACCATTACATCCCCCATGGGATCTCAGCCCTTGAGGCCTACAGGAAGCTCAAAGATCACCCATGCCACCTTATCCCCAGCTAGATCACACACCTCCAATGATGCGGAGCTCACTACTCATTGGCAGCCCTTATGCTTTCTGCCTTCAGGTACTCTCCCGAGTTATAAGTCCCTTTCTGTAAGACTCTCAGGGAACCCATGGCTGGGGTGGGGACCAGCATAAAAGCCTCTAAGCAGAAGTCCCAGGAAGTAGGTGAGCTGGAGGAGCTAGCCAGAGGGTAGGTGGATGTAGTCCTGGTACGTAGGTTCATGTCGTCTGGGTACAACCTGGAACTAGCACTAGCCCTGCCTGGACTCAAGATCTCCTCTATAAATGGAAGTATTGCCAGGGAGGAAAGCCATTTTCCAAGGAGGAGTCAACTCCAAGCTGGTCATGCGGTCTGGGCTGTGCCCTGGAAGCAGAGGTGTTGGGAACAAACCTTGGTTTCCACCATATAGCACCTGTTCCTCCCCCTGAGGACCTTGAGACAGATGAGCTGGCTGTGAGGCTGCTCCACGGCACCAACTTGCCAAACCTAGGCCTCCCAAGACCACCCTCACCTACCTACTTCATATCACAAAAATTATCACATAATTGTTTGGAAAGACTCTATTTAATATGGAAAGAAGAGACATTGAACTACAAATAGTAATACCAAAACAGAGAAGAACAAAATTATTACAAACAATAAAATGTAATAAATGATTTTGCTAAGAAAAAAATATTTTCCTTATAAAAGAACTCACCCTGTCCCAAACGGTGCCCTAGAAAAACTGTAGCAGGAGCATGGAGTACTATGTAAACTTGACATCCTTCAAACAGAGTTACTGCACTGTACAAGCAGACAGTACTCTGATTATATAATACTATCCATGAACTTATGAACACTATCTCATGACAGTAGAAAGCAGAAATGGGATAGTAAGTGAAGAATGGCATAAGCCAGAGTCCTACTTTTCTAACCATAGTCAGTACTTCTGTACTGGAGACTTTGCCTCCATTTGCTTGTACAAAACAAGGCAAAAGAATGAAGAATTATATGAAGGGAAGAGAGTGAAGCTGCTCGTGCAGCAAGCCACCAGCACTGCCTGGGCAGGCCACCATTCCACTGCAGACCAGACAACTATAGTTTCTTCTGGGGACCAGTGGGCAGATGGACACTAGCATTATGGCTGAGGTCACTGGGCTCCACTTCAGCTGTCATTAGGCCAGCAAAGGGCATTGGGGCAGGCAGCTGGGTGCCACTCCCAGGGGCCGTGGTTCTGGCACATGAGGACTCAAACCCTACTAGGACTCAAATCCTGAGCCACCTGGCCTTCAGCTGCACAGGTGAGCCTGACCCCCAGCAAGCACTTCAACCCCCAGGATGTCCCACCCCGACACAGTCTGCCCTTTGCCCTCTCCCAGGTTCAGCATTGCCAGGCATCTTCTGTTCCCTACCTCTCTCCACCTGGACCACCTTGGTGGGACACTGTTCAGGAGGGCTGCTGCCCCACCAACCAGACACCGACCACAGTCCTCTCTCTCCCTACTCCCATCCCAGACCTCAGACTCCCACTGAGGGAGACAGGACCAGCATGCAATCATTGCCTCATTCGTCTCATTTGACAAGTATGTGTGGGCACCTTCAGGTGCCAGATGCTGGGCAGGGCTGCCAGGGAAGAAATGGACAGAGCAAACAGCCTCCCAGGCTGGCTGCCAGAGCCCTTTCACACCCACCCGTGTATCATTACCCCACTCTCCCACATACACATTTCCTCCAGAGACCACAGACCCAGGAGCCCCAATTTATATGAGGCCAGGCAGACGGGCCTGAGTCCTGGTGCCCTGTTCCAAACCCAGTTCCTTTTCTTCTCCCCGTCCCCGCCTCCTGCCAATGAATCATGTGTACCTCTTCTGCTCAGAGTCCAGACCCTGGTAGGTTTCAAACACACAATGAGACCGACATGGTGGCCAGAGCAGGTGGCAGGAGCCGTGGGACAGGTAACCAGCCACCGCACCCAGGAACCTCTCAGGGACTCCTGATTGCACACAATTAGAACCAACCTAAAAACCCAGGATATTTCAGGCTCTCACAGGAGCTACTACACCCAAGATAACAACAGATGACCATCCAAGCTGCCTCAAAGTAGTGATACACATTAATAATGGTGGCCTCCATTTCTGGAGCACCTACTTCTCAACAGAGCCCAAAGACTATAGGGCCGGCAGGTCCTACATCTCCTCTACTCACTAGCTGGGGGTGGGAGTCTGGCTCTGAAGTTCCACCGAGTTGTTCTGTACAGTGGGGCTCACCATGCTCATAGTGCTGCTTGTAGCGGGGATCAGGATAAGGGTCAGGGTCAGGGGAGGCAAGGGTGCCCCT